AAAAAATCAGCCTGTGCTTTACATTCAATCCCATCTGGAAATGCACTGGGAAATATAATGGTTGCCATGTAATTGTTATTTGCTACTACCTCACGGGAGACGTGCAACTAAATCGATTTTGTGTAATCGATTCGCCGCACGCGGCAATCACGGACTAATAGTTACCTCGTTTCAGTAGTTTTGGCGTTCTTCTTACAGCTTTACTGCTTGATCCTTGCTATTACTTACTTCAAATCGATTCTATTGTTACGTTTTTGCTTCTGTATTCCTTACTCGCTGCACTGCTTCTTTCTGCTATTCCTTCCTACGCGACGTCGCTCTCGCCACGTGGCGACCATTTCGGTATAGCTGCCCCACACCCCCACCTCACTTGTGCAAGCTCTGTGCTACGGCAGCGGAGTATTTTCTATCGTTCAGGCGTTTCTATCAGTTTCTTCAAAAACGAGCTGTATCTCTGTGCACGGCTTGTACTGGCCACTACATTACTAGCTCACAAGATGAACATGTAAAGATGACTTTGACGCTCGCCATCTGTGGCACCAACTATGAACTCAGCAAGTAGGTGCTAACGTACTGTTGGAAATCGCTAATACTCGAATACTCTGGGTGGACTCGGTAACTTTTTCCAAGGTAACCGTAAACAAGCAAGTTCACGCAGGGTAAGCATTTGTAGATAGGAATACAACTAATTTTGTAACATATTTCGTAGTTCCCAAAAAATTTGAATACTTCCGTGCAACCTACCAATGAAGCACACGGAGCGTCCAATTCCTCCAGAACAGTGAACGACTATTGGAGTGCTTCTGGATAGATTTCGTACGAGCTTAAGTAGGCCAACAGTGGGAGTCGGATCAAGGGGAGCAGTATAATCCGGCCATTCACTATATGAAATATGGTGCACATCATATGAGTCTCTGAAATCGAGCTTAATGAATGAATGCAATCGAGTTCATAGGAGATCTGAGTGCTGGTCCATAGGCGATTGAAAGATGTCTTTCTCAGGCTACCAACTCTATGAAACTCTATAAAATGAAAGTCAATTGCGTTTGTTTCTGTGAAAAGAAATGAAGGACAATTGTACAAACTGTTTCAAAAGGGGTATAGCCGGGGTGGTACTTCACCCGAATTCCCGCGACAAGCGGTAGTGTTCCTATGGCGACTACCGTATCCTTCACTGTCTCAAGCCTTTTCCTGCTCAGCGCAGGGAGCGGGATCAGACGCTGCTTGTCACATCCATGACTACAGGGGTAGAAATTAGCAAAAGTAAGTAGGTAAGTAGTGCAAACCTACTTTCGACGGACATTTTTCAGTGTAAGAATGTGATGTTTTACACTTGAAAAGTTATTCGGTACAATTTCTTTGAAATATACTTTGTAGTTACCATACTTGCCACATTCGTCACTATTTCTTGGAAAATATAAAAAACATTTTTCGTTGTTACCTGAAGAAAAGTTTTTAGATTGATAAAGGTTGAAGCTTTCGTTGTGAGTTCCAAAAATTGTAACATAGACAAAGTAACTTTCAAAGTAATCATGGCAATTTAAAAATGATCTCTGAACGACTGTCTGTGAGAACTGCGTAGGGCACATCCCTTGTACCACTGGTTGCCTACCTTTCCGCATGAAAATCGCACGTAAACATCGCGAGTCCCTATTTCACTTCATCCTTGCTAATACTTTCAAGCAGTTGCAGGGTGAATCCCAAAACCGTTCCCAGATCCTCCAGATTTTTCGAATTCACCTCTACCGTGACGAACTTCTGCGGTTTTCTCATATTCGCTTCCACTATGATGAAAACCTGAGACTTTCTCCTATCTACCTCTATTTTGTTGAACTTGTACGCCTTCCCTATTCTCTACTGTATACTCTGCTGTACCGGGAGATTTGTCGCTCAGACTGGCGGAAGTCCAATAGATCTGAAGCAGGCCCTGACTTTTTTCACAATAGTACCTGCTTCGCTAAATTTTGACGCCATTTCGTTCATTTGGCAGAATTGGCACATAAGCGCTCCATACTTGCTGCTGTGCCGCATAGGGTCCCTTGGCTCAGATGTCCTACCATAACTGGAGCACTTGGAGACATTCATTTAGCTGAGCGTAGGCATCGCGTACCACAAAAACTGTACTTGTTAGGATCAACTGCAAAGTAGCTTTTCCACATAATCACTACGCATTCAATGCACTTGCTCTATCGCTATTTGCTAGTGAGCCTTCCCCGGGCAGGCTCCCAACCCAGTACTCCTAATAGTAACACATCAGCGATAAGGTTTGCAGTGTGGTTCACTGCTTTTTTTCTCAAAAAAGGTTCTTTCAAAGTGCCCAAACTCACCTTCCCGCAAACAACATAACATAACAATTACATACGACTTCTCTGTATAAACCATGTGCCAAAAATCCTCAAGGGTCTCCTGTAATGGTCCCTGAAAATTTTAGGAGTGCTCTGTCAGATGAAGCTGATTAGTAGTTCAGTCTTACTCATAGTTGAATTGAAGCTAGAAGCGATACAGGAGCCATTCTTCTCCTACCCATCACCATGATAACATTGCCCCCAAGAGGAGAGATTTTCATATGAGCAGTGCACCGGGACTATCGATGAAACATGTACAGGCGTGGGTGAAATGGTATCATGACTTACTACCAGATGAATGGTCTGGGAATGGAATTCCTCCATTAGTAACTTTGTGGGCAGCTAACTCTTCCATCTCTGTGAAGTGGCTTGAATGCACCAAGTTCATCGGGAAGGAAAAGAAGCGCACTATAAGCCTAATCACCAAAGCGCGTCCCGAAGTAGGGTTGATGAGTAACAATCCCAGCCTTGACATTGAAAAAATTATGTTTCCTTCAGTAATTTTGCGACCCGCCTGTGTGCTGATGTATCTTTGTCCATCGGGCATATCCATCCAACTTGCATGAATATAGTCAGTATCTGGTGGTCTCTCTTTCAATACAACGCGAGTAGAGTCTATGCACAACACGTCTTCATACCTGTACAAACTACATATACCAATAAATACTCACACAATTTTACTCAATTTGACTAATATACCTTCTTTATTAGATATGGCCCTTCATTTGATTACTGTCTACACCTTAGAGCGACCCCGGAAACAGTGTAGCCAGCCAGGTAGTGTAGCATCCCAGCGGTGCAGGAACCAGTACTGCGCTTTTTATCGAGGGTCTATTAAACATACATCTACTAACGTGGTCCTATGTTGGGTCGAATCTAAAAGAATCCACATTTACCTTAATCCTTATTCCTTATTCGAGATCGGTTTTGTATGGTCTGCTTTTGTTACAGTAGTGCCAAGCAGATGAAATGACCCATAATTCCCTATATATCGCTGCCAGATATTGTTGCTACCGTCTAAGAATATCCTCTATAATCATCTAAGCGGCGTATGTGTGTTATTGAAAGGAAGTCAGGACTGCTGCATGTGCAGCTCACAACATTAGGGCTCTTGTGTATGATATAGATTGTCGACAGAGATGAAGCCATTGAGGCGTCTCTCCACACCGATTTCGATTTCTCCTATTTGCTTAGCCCTTCTGTTCATACTCTCATAGGAATAATCAAGTGCTAGGCGTGCTGTGGAATGGCACAAAAATTNTTCCCAGAAACCCACTAAGAACGGACTTGGCCTGAGCGATGAATATTGAGGAGACCTGCCTGGAAGCGTTAAGCAGTCGTTTGATTAATCAGCATGTGGACAACAGATGATCACCAGACTATGTATCCGTTACTTTTGCATGGATGAGTTGTATGATTCGTATTAAGCCAACTCATGATCAGACTAATAAGAAAAACTTCGTAGTTGTAACCTGTTTTTGGAAATGTTACGTTTGAAGTGTTCGCAGGTGTATTCAGGAGGCTTGTAATTCTTATTCTGGATGAACTCCTTCCTGATCGTTATTGTATTCTGGAATTTAGAAAAAATTGATTCTTCAGATCTACTAAAAACAGTGCTCCTCGAGAGCAATCAAAAAGCTGGAAGTGAGGGACAAGTCGGCTGGACTCTTGCTATCGCGAACACGATTTCGACGATCTTTCTGTGTACGGACATTGAGTTTCGAAAGACCCGCGTGTAGTGAGGTCCCGTTCTATAGAGTATTCCTTCATTGGGTTCCCGCCAGAGTGATAGGCAATCCTATCCGAGACGGTCGCTTTCATCACTCTTTACTCTCTGCTTTTGTTTGCAATGATACAAAGTTGCTTGACCTCATATATCTTGGTCACGTTCTCATATGCTTTTCTTATGTTTTGCATCCCTTATCTCAGTTATCCAACATCAGCCTTACCCAAGTCTTTAACCGTATCATAACGCATAAGCTCTCCTGATAATAAATTTTCTTGCAGTGTCGCGGCGTTTTTGTAGTTCTGGCATCATTAACATGCATTATATTGGCTGGATTAATTACCCACGATTGAAACGCCAAGAGAAATTTTGTTTGTGTGGTCCATTTCCTGGACATGGTAGAAGATGTAAACAGATAAACGCGTGCCAGCAAGACTAATGTGAATGTGACTATTCCAATGACATCGATTTCCGTACGTCTACCGACCCATTTTCAAAGCCTGCTATGATATCTGCTACCACCTATTGCTACGAAAATCCTTTGTCAATTTTTTTTTTGCTTAAATGAAGAGCTTTTGGGAGACAGTGTGGTTACTATGCACTTTTTTCCCGTATTTACAGTCATGTTGTTGTTGAATGGCGGAACTTTAATCGCCTCCCTTTTGACAGCCCGAGGGCGTGGCTCATAGCGAGTGGGCGGGATTTGTAGGTCGACTGAAATATTTTCAAGCCTCCTTTCACCATACCAACAATTTTTTCTTTTTCTTTTTTGATTATATTGATGATTGCCCTTAGAAAGATTTCTTTCTATATAGAAAGTATTAACGTACCATTGTTTGCAGGATATTCTGAGCCCAAACATATCGATTGTCAGTGAGTGAAAATTCTTTGACCGTTTCGTTGCTCGATTTTTGTACTTTTCCTTCTAGCGATCTGCTACCTTCTGCTGAAGAGCTTTTCCTCTCTTGGGTTTGTGTTTTTTCTTGTGAGAGGTTGCTTTTGCCATCAGTGCCAGATTCTTTTTTTCCTTTCTCAGCTGGTTTTGTGGGTGGGGAGTCTTCCATTACATCTTGCGTTATAACATCAGATGGATCTTCGCTTTTCATTTTCTGTGAAATTAGTGGTGGTTGAAATATCAATTCATGATTTCAAAAACAAATGATGAACGCATGCTCACGCCAAGTTTCTTTCCACGGTTCGATTTTCTTCGCATAGACTTTCCCTATAATTAAGTGGTCGTTTAATTTGTTATTTACTCATTTATTATTTGGTCATAGATAGTTGCTTATTCATCCCTAAANGGACACGAGCTTGGGTTCCCTGTTGAGTACGTGCCCCACTGTCCCTACCGTTAGAGGTTAGTAAAAAATGTAAGATTTTTTTGTGTGGAGGGTTCTTACGTCGAAGGATGTCAATATTATAATGTATCGCATATGCATACATATGCATATACACATATATCAATATGTATCGCATAGCCTCTGCTTCATGCGGTATAGATGTTATATGGGCAAGGATTCACCTGCACCATTTTGGTAAGTCAAAAATGTAAATGAACTGACCATCGAAGATACCCGTGGCAACCGTACAACCTTGACGCTCTAAAATAAGTCGAGTCATGATTAAGAAGAGACTATTCCAAAATGTAAACCTATTTACCTTTGCCTTGATGCGCATGTCTGGTGTGATTTTGCGGATTTCTGGCGGGTTCTGAAGTTTGTTTTTATCAGAATCGCAGCTATTGCACTGCCTACTATTCCCAAAACTAACTGAGCTTTTCTGATCTCACCAAAAGGATGATAATGTATGTACATTGAAGGTTTGGAATCTCAAATTTCAACTCATACCGGCTTATTTCGATAACTGTTAAACTTCTGCGCCAACTCCGCTGACGGCGTTTTCTTGATTGGTTCATTTGCTAAAATCGTTCAAAGTAGAAACAGCCCCTACACAAAGCTAACTAGCAAAGCAAGTACCAAATGCATCAAAAAACATACATAGAGAACTTTTGTTTTGAACATCTGATGTTTTTTTATTGTAATCACCTACCTAAACGAAAAGTTGAAATGAAAGTTGATGACCCTTTTTCTGAATCCGTCACGCTGTTAATTTTCGATCAAATTTCTGAGGGCGTTCGAACTCACCATATGGACATTTTCGGAACAAGGAGTCGCTAAGAATAGCCACTTTCAATGTCTCTAATCTTTGGAAATCGATGCCAATCAGGAAACCTCCTCAGCATCACGTCACGGCAGTGATATCTTCTGTTGGGGTAGATTTGAGGTCCCATTCAAATTTTGAGTATATAGGTTCCGAACGAGTTTTCGTGTACTGCTAGCGTCTTTGTTACAGCGAAGATAGGACTGATACAGCTTTTGTTCTATAGATAGCCTAACCACAGTTGATAATGATATATGATCCATGGTGCCATTCCTCCTAGTCTCTATTTCAGCGTCGGTCTGGCAAGGGTAGGTCTGGTGGAGGAGTATGGATGACCTCAGGCTTATCATTCCTTCACTGGACCTACACAGGAGAGTCTGACAGGTAACTCTAGGTGTTGACTTCAGATACCAGTGTAAACCACTCTGCCAAAAAGCCATATAAGCAGGCTTGGGAGCTTTGTAGGGTCAGGTAAGGAACGAGGCTCGGCTTTGGAATAGGCCATGGAGGAAATGAATCCGAACGGTTATGCGCAGACAAGTCATCTAGCTCGAACTTGACAACTGTCTCGTTACAACCGTTCGCGATAGTCCTAGGATACGCTAAGAACTTCATGGTTAGACGAACTGGACGAACTTACCTCATCTGCTTTGACTTCTTCAGGCATCAGACCGTGCGTAAATGAGTCCTACCGCCTGCACCTGAACCTTCACTGCCTATTGAAAACATCAACAGCTCTTATCCATGTGATATCACAATAGCGGGTGAATCTCCATTACTGATATGAAGAGATTTATCTTTGTAGGTGTCTTCCGAGCCAATGCCACTTTGCTGAGCCTCCAAGGCAGCGTAGGCACTTGAATGACTTGGGAGGGCTTCGTTCCCTCACACGCATTCAAGCCTAGGCCTCCAATTGAAGTGATTAAAATCGGGTCAGGGTTGTTTTTTGACTTCTCAATGGGCGAATTCAAAATCATGAATCACGAAAAACACATGAAAGGTAATATATTTATTTGGCTCATAACTGTCAAAAGTTCTTCAAGGGTCATCATAACACCAGACAGCATTTCAATATGTTGTGTACTTCGCTGTATGCAGTATGCCTCTGATCACAGTGTTTACCCAGGTATTCAAGATAATCTCGATGTGATAATGTTCTCTAGACGGTGGTAACTGAGAGAATTCCATGTTTGGCTGTGGTATCCGGATTTCGTTGACTCAGTACTTCTTGTGTGGTCACAAAACCATCCAACAGCATTTTCTCTTTACGACGTTGCATTTTTCGTTGAGAAAGTTGTACGATCATCTGAAAATGGATCTCGTTAATGTCACTAATATTTCTTGTTGCATAGTTTTTGCCCTTTATTCATGAGAGAAGTGATGGGAAATCAACAAGTGGAGCGAACGTAATGCAACGCGACGCTTACGCACGCGTCCGATGCCGCTCGCCTCTCTACCAGCCATGACTCATTGTCTTAACTCATTTTGCTTGGGCGACAGCCAAGTGTTCTGTGCCAAGTGTGCTAGTTTTCTGATATATACGTTCAATCTGTTTTTTATACATTACTCAAGACTTTAGGATGCCTTGTCTGTAAACTTTATCGATTATAGCGCTGCAACTGAAAGTAATCCACTCGGCGAGTGAGTATAAACGCTATGACTGCCGACACCGTGGTTATCAGCATTACCCACAAGTGAAGGGAGGCTTCGTACGAAAAAAACTGGCTCTCTTATTATGCCTTTTTATCGGTTCAGAAAATCTCAAGGATTTAAATGTTCACAATTCAATCTGATGGGGATTACCTGATCGGCAGGTGAGATCTTTGACTCGATGAGTTTCTGTTGATTACGAATTTTTCTCCTTCGTTCTTCTTCCAAATGCTTTTTTCGTTCCTCACGTGTGTGAAAGTGTCCGAGCTAAAGAAAACGTACGTCAAAAAGTGTACACTATTTGCGTCAGAAAAAAATCGTTCCAGGGCTCAACACTGGTTGTGACGCTCATTCTTCCCCGTATTTACGTAAGAAATATAAAAAATAGAAAGCAACAAATCGTATGGAAAGAGAAGATCAACATAAAAATAGTAATGTGCATGAGGTAGTCTTATGGGTGAGAGTAAGGTGCTCCAAAAGCACATATCCGGGTGCCTATAACTCAGCACCGTCGAGATCAATGACGGTAGTAGACCTAGGCAGCTCTAGACCATCAGCTCAACCCTCTACGACCCTTTTTAAGCACAGATAAGCATATTTTAAAGTCAGAACCTCTCTTACTCCCTGTTTTGAGCCTCCATTTACTTTTGCGTTTTTACGGATGTCAAACATACTTTCAGCTCGCTCATGGCGTCATCATCAGTGCTGATGCCTGTTCGTTCTCGGATAAGCTGTGCTGCCCGTTTCTTCAAAATCTGACTTCGAGCTGGACGTTTTACGACATAACGTGAACCGTCACATCGTCGCTTAACCTGGAATGAGAATAGTATGGATCTGATGGGTGCTAAATATAATCATTAAACTTCCTATTCGAGAGAGGAATTAAGTCCCTCGCTGTTCATCCGACTAATTTAGGCCCAAGCGAAAAAGTGACTCAATACGATATACATGGTGGAGCACAAGTCATAACTCCGGCAGAACAACCCAAGAACAACCGCATGACATACATCGCCTGGGACTTTAGTGACATTTTTCCAACTGAAGTTAAAATCCAAAGTTTTCGAAATAAATTCCGTGAGATGCACTATCTTTATTCTGTGTCGGTCACCAACCATATTTTACTACTGAATCGACCACTGGGCTTACCTTCCACTTGTACACGATGGTGTCGTTTGTCTGACAAGGCTGATCCGGATTTTTTTCCGAAGGCCCGGCAGCAATTCCATGATCGTCGCTAATTTCATTCGCTTCTTCTACTGGTTTCTCAATTATATACAACTTGTCCTTCGTTTGTATACTCCGGAAATATCTAAAATACTCATGGAATAGATAGCTCCTTGCTGAAATGGCTGCCATCATAACATTCCCATGTGAGAGAAAAAAAGGAAAAAAGGAAAAAGGATGGAAGTAAAGTAGTCAACCAAAGAGCGCATTTCATATGTAAAATCCAGAACACGAAGAAACTCAAATAAGAACCTTAAGAGCACTGCAAAACTCACTTGGGCATTGGAAACTTCTGCTGTACAGACATGTCTGTTCCATTACTTTGTTTGTTTTGATCACGCATCACTATTGACAATGAGGGTATCCTGAAATGTTTCTTACATAGGTAAAGTTACTGTAATAAGAGAGCCTCCTGAACCCAGCACTAATCTGAGCTCCTAACATCACCATCTTCACTTTCGCCCTCAATACACAACTCACTTAATGAGAGAATCGGCTAATTGGACTTTTTAGAATTTTACATTTCCAATTCAGATAAAGCAGTCTCATAACTGTGATGTTAAAGGCACTGCTCAGGGAATAATGGTTTCGGAGATTTGCACATAGTTTGAATTCGATGCCCCCTCTGATACCATTCGTGCAGGTGATATGTACTTTTTGGTATCTCTTGCCTTTTCTTACCTACGTTCAGACAAGTCGTTGACCTTTACCATGTACTCATGGACAAGATCCAACAACATGTCCGCTTCACTACGAAGTTTCCAGAACGTTTTCCAATAGATAAATCCCTTCAGAATTCCTTTCTTGTAGGTCTTGTGCAACTCAGCCAAAAAATGCTCGAATTCGAGCCAAACTCCGACAACTCAATCGACCCAAAGCTTACAATATGACCGATTCGGTCAAAAACCTGGTTGTTCAAAACTTACCTGAACCGTTTGGCGCATTCCAAGCTGTCCTTTGTTTCCAAAATCTTCAGCGGAGAAAAACGTCGACGTGTCGATACGGGAGTGTTGACTGCCGTCGAATTGGGCAACTCGTCCGCGTATCCAGGTGTGTGTAGACGACTCGGAAAATCCACCACGATCTCTTGTGTTGCTGAAGTTTCAGAATTCTTTGACGTAGAGGCTCTAGGTTTGACGTGAATTTTTGCTGTCTAGATGAGTGATCGATCAGTGCGGCTTTGCTCTTGTGATTAATTAAGTGGGAGTGAAGACGACACGGTGAATTGAGGGAGATAAAGCGTGAAATCGATCCTACCAAGCTTTTTCCTGAGGGTTAGTAGTGAATCCGCAGAGTTCGTAGGAAAATAGCGTTGAACTCCTCAAAAAGCGCAAAGTCGTCCTACTGATTTTGTTTATCTATTTATTTTTTGATGACGCTCGCCTAAGTCACGCTGCTGTCTGCCTAGTATAGATTGTTCTGATTGTGGTTTCTGTACCTTGGTGTTGGAGTGCCACTGACAGAGGTTCTGGAGTCACTGCTAATCATAGGCATGAGCACAGTCTTCACAGCACATTAAATTGCTTCCAACGGTAATCAAATTGGTGCAGCTTGCAGCTTCTTCTTAATCCCCCTGATCAATGTTTGAAATTTAATAGCGTTCCATAGGGAGCCACTTTAAGCAGGGAGCAAGGGATTGAGCTTGGCTGCATTTGTTTTTATGGTCCTATAAAAACGGCCACCCGAAACCGACTTACGATGCCTGTTGTTCCGCCTCGATGCAGGTGTTCGTACGGCGCTCGCATTAGCTTGCTGATCGTCCGTCGTCGGTGAAACCGGCATATTCTTTGAACGATGCAGTTGCCGAGGTGAACGGGGAGGCACACCGACTGGCATCACAACCGGCTCTACTGCAGGTATTCTGAAAGAAAAAAAAAACGTTTTACGGTGTAGTACCGTAGTAGTTTTATGACGGACTAAAGAATAAACGTCGAGAGCGGAATCACTTACGAAGCTGTCAGTTGTGGTGGTGAGGGTTTTACAGTTCCATCAGGTGTTATTGAATTTGAACGACAACTTTCGCCACCGGTGTTGTAGGCACTGGATGTGTCCGGATTTGGGCACAAAATACAGCCCTATAAAAAGTTCTGTTTATCCAAAAGACTTCTGTTTACTAGTAAACAACAGCTATATCAAAAGTAAACAACAAGTACAAAGCTCTCACTTATCAATCCACAAAACTCCAACTTTAGCTCAGTTTATTACTCGCGCACCAAGATAGAGGTAAAAAGTAGTGGTTGGTACTGCACTGTGCGGTTACGCCGTGCATTCGAAAGATGAAATGGTTTTATCACAAATTCGGTCAAAATTGGTCAAAAGTGAGCCAAAAAACCAATACTGCCAAGTTGCGCCGTGCATTCGCTCGAATTTAAGTTCTGCTGCCTCTCGTAGGCCTCTCCCACTATGGGTCCTTTATTACGAAAATGAAAAAACTTCTTCAATAATATGCGAAAAATAACTGCGTTGATATTAAAAAAGTGTCCGGAATGTAGCAAAAAATGTAAAAAGCTGTGGGTGGACGGGAGCGTAGGGACGTATGCACTTACCATCAGTCCGCAGGTGTTGTTGAAATGAGGTGTGAAGCCGGACGTAAGCATAGGAGGTGCCGTTGGCGTCGGCTTTGGAAAAGCCGTACGCTTCTCGCTTTATCGCTTTGTTTACAAAATACGAGACGATTAATTGCTGATCGCACAACGCACCCACTAGAACGCCATCGTCCAACGTAATGAATGAGCTACGAGACAGAGTGTTTCCGCCTCCACTACGGCTGTCACTACACTTTATACCAAATGTACCAGTTCCCATGAGTTATTCGAACCCATCAGATCACACACACATGGTTCTAATGTGTTCCCCTCCACTTATCCCACCACTCCTCCATTTCACAGATGTCATGGAATTGTAAAGGTTGTAATGGCTAGTGAGATCTGGCTCGTAGACTTTTTCCAGCTTGAAAGAAAGGCTATTTAAAATAGCACGCTAGGGTTTCGAATAGTTATTTACTTATTTACTTGTATATCTACCGATTTATGCTCTCGCTTGAGCGCGCTACTTATGAATATAATAGAGAAGTAACCAAAATCGAGGACAAATCAAATGATTGAACGGAAACGATGATGGTAGCGAAAGCTCTGATCCAACTTTTCCACCGGCTTGCTTTCCCAGTCTAGCATCGGTCCCGGAGGGATAGTGAAGAGATTTCGCTATAGTAACATGGAAGAGTGGTAAAAGTGTACATTGTTATGACAACAAAAGAATCCCTCTTCACCGGCATGGCCTGAGAAAGGCTGAATGAGCTCTGACCAGTTTTTTGGGAGATGGGAGAGGCACAAAGGAGGGCTTGAGGACTCATATGTTTCAATGAGATGATTTTGAACGCACTCGACGGGCCCGGTGGACATCGGTACGAAGGGTGTAGTCGCTAATTTTCCGGAAAGGATCGAACACAAAGTATCCTGCTTTATTTCCGCAAGAAAGCCATCATGGTCATCAATATTTGTCAAGATCAGCACTAAGTGTGGGCTCTCGATTAGGATACACAACTGACCCCATGACTAAGAGAAATTTGACAGTGAAGGATGGTTACAAACTTGAAAGCTGGCTTTGAAATAAAACTGAGTACCAACTCTTCACAGTGAACGCTTGTGCAAATACTCGCAGAGGAAAATTGATAGAGTAGAGACAATTGAACAAGTTACGCTTCTGATTGAATACGAAAGGTAAAGACAACTATGAAAGCGATCTGTGAGTCGCTTAAAGCAATGACGCTTTGAAGACTCATAAAATCCTTTTTCTGATGGGTTTTTCTCTAAATCTGGCTTTGGGCTATCAATTTTCTGGTTATCGAAGATTTTTCTCGATAGTGGTGCCAGTCTACGTAGTGTAGTAGGCTAGCAGGCCGTCCGAAAAAATTGGTGTACTGGAGAGGCTAGGATTAGTCTAAGAATTAGAAGATTGCTATTCTTGGGGTTCACCCTCCAGGCCCATTTTGGATCCCAAATCATTCCAGACACTCACTGAAGGTCTTGAAGGGGATACTATTCACCTGCTAGTCCAGTCACCTCGCTGTGAGTAGCTAGATACATTTGTTTGTGATGTACTCAAGGAATTAAGATTATTCCGAAGAATAGAGAACCTTATTCTTAGAGCCTTTCTCCCACATCCCTGTAAGTGCTCGTAAGACAGATTTTCCAATTGAATGCGCTAAAATCTTTCCAAAAAGACTTGCAAACGATCTCCTTTATTTCGCTCTCTCACTCTTTTCATACTATAGCGATCGTGAGAATCCTCTGCCGGCACGACTATGAAAAACAGAACTTTGTGTATGAGAGAGTGTGGAAGGATGCTGTCGGTGTCAACGATGAACCATCAAAATCCTCATGAGCCTCGATCGTGGCATTTGCGCAAAGAGGGGCGGCTGTTCGTTGTCAGTTTCACTTCACATCACTTTATTCTAGCAAAGCTGGAGCTCGTGTGCTATTGATGATGGAACGATTCTGCTCCCAGCCAGGGGGGCATAGATTGGTGAATCCATCACATAAGAGAAAGCAAACCGTGAAGACCTCACACCTGGGGGGAGTAAACGATAACTGATGGATTACTGTGCACTAAGGTCGACGCGGATTCCAGCTCTGATTGATCATATCAGTAGGCCTTGCCTAAGTCTTTCTAACGATCGAAGCTATTTCTGGTGCAAGCTGCCATTTCATCCCAATACGTTACACAGACACAGGGCACCACTTCAGAGATGCATGCACAGTGCAGCGGCGCCTAAAGGCACTCCATGACCCTAGGAAAGAGCTAGCCTTTTAGGATCAATCCAGGATGGTTCCGGAACCCTCCCTTAGAATTGAAGCTGTCTAAAGAATGAAAACGCCAGTTAGGATACGTATTTGTCTACAATTCTGAAAAAAAATCGGAAGGACGCGAAGGCTTCACCGTCAGTACACCCTTCTCATTTCTTTTGGGGTAATCATTCTATTTTCTTGGGTCAATGAAGTCAAAAACTCCAAGTGAAAGCTGTAGCCATGGAAAAGATATACCTATATATATTAAAGATACATATANNNNAACTTTTTGTCAGTTGTTCCTGACGGACGCAGACTTCATGATTGACAGAGTGCGACTGAACCTATCCTGCCTTACTGTTGTAGTTGATTGTACTTGAACATCATGAACTTGAGCATCAAATTTCGAGATGGCTGTCGAGGAACATCCCAGAAAAAAGGTCCTGAACGCTCATTCTGTTCCCTTTGGGGTTCAATGAGGCATTAAGAATGACCAGATAGACGAACTCCCATTAAGCTTTCGCCACTACCCAGATCTCGGATCATTAGGCATATCGCGTGCCAAACGGTACTAAAGTAATCTTTGGAAAGTGAACTTCACGCAAAGCTTCGCAATTTACCGGAAAATCCAATTGAAGCACTGAAGGAAGGAACGATACTAGCGGTCTGGAGTTCCTGAGCTTTTTGTGGCCCATAGGTGGCCCCTAGTGGACTATAAACAGATCTATTCCGGCTGATGAGTACAGCTGTACTAAAAGGCTCATTTTTATTCCTATTTTTTCTTTTGCAATCCAGCATGCATTCGATTTTATAGTCAGTTATATAATATATTGGCCGTGAAAGCGTTTTGCAAGTGCTGCACGATTGCAATCAAAAGTACCGTAATTTTTCCGACAATTGCTTTAACGACTCTTAGAGGTTCTATTCAATTGAACAAAAAAAGGATAAAAGGCAGTGGTGCGGAAAGTCGAAATCCTGAAATAGCTTAGCCTCAGAGTCTGGTGAAAAAAAACAATTTTTCCCTATTCCATTTCCCATACCCAGCCAGAATCTCTTTTACTCGGGTTCTGTGGCTTTACTTTGTGAAATTCCAGCCCAAAAACGTTTAAATGACTTTCGTCTGGGAGGCACTGACAGTATTTCACTGAACGGAGAATTTCGGTGTTCTTTGACCTCTCAGATTTTGAACTCTCCAAATTTTGTGGCCACGATTTTTCCCTTACTCCAGGGCCTTGTAGGGCCGGTTGAGCGGAAACATTTTAGCTGCCAAGTGATTTTATTCTTTTTCAGAGCCAGAAACATGGAACTATTCGGACCAGGACCCTGTGTAACGCGAGGGAGGAAACGTGAACCCTGAAACTGCTCCAGGAAAAGAGTTCGGAACGGCTGTAATTTTACCCTTGGAACGTTTTTGCCCACTGAAAGCTGGGCAAACTCTTTCCTTTATCTAAAAGGGAGCACAAAATTCTTCCGCACCACACTTACGAGTCCTCAGGCTCTTTATAAAAGAAGGAAGAATACGAATTATATTTACAAGCCGAGAACGGAGTTTTGGAGCTTTCGAAAATTCATTTGAATGTCATTTAAAAAACTCCAGGCGGTAGTTTAAGAAGGTAGTCAATGTGGGAAGACCTCACATATTCCAATACTGCATCAATCAACACAGATACCGTAATCAGAAAAAAGACAAAAGTACTGTCATTACCTCACTGAGCGTTTTTTCNACCATTAGATGTTTATTGATCAATCGATCGCATTCCAATCGTAACGACGCCATCTCACTATGAAGACTGGCCAATTTGTCGCCGATTGTCGCAGGTCCGTCGGCTGGCGTCGGCTGTTGCTGACTATGAAACGGATTCACGTTCATTGAAGCGATCGCAGCGTAATTCCGTGTTCCAATGACCGTGGCTTTCCTGAAAGAAAGTCGTTTTTGTAGATACAAAACGTGCTTCGGCATAGATTTTGTCGGTTCGGAACGACGACAACACCTGTCAGAGGAGAGGGGAGCTGAACCTGACGACAGCTTATCTTAGAAACATTATCGGAAGCTGAAGAACAGGGGATCGAATTTCATCCGTGACAAGGGTCATATTACGAAGACGATGAGGTCAAAATATCCGTTGAAAAAACATGGGACACATTCTAAGAAAACACTGCAGAGGTGGTGTCCACATGTTGTTTAAATTAGACATTCGATGCACCGAGCAAAGCGTTTTTCCATCTGGGATCAACATCAGAAAAGTAAAAAATGATTAAATGGGGACTTCAGAACGACACATTCCATTAATTTGGAGTTGATGCGATGTTCCCCTACCGTTTTTTGAAGAAATCCTAATCGGGGACGAAAAGCTGATGAGGAAATGTTGTAAGGGCGCCACAACCACTTCGATGGTTCGGAGATAAACACCCTGGATATCCGGTCAAGATAAAAACGATTACGATCGTCAGTTTCAAGGAAGCAATCAAAAAGTACAGGATAAGGAAAGCGTAAAGAGCGTCGATTCAACGGAAACTGCAGAAGACATGGGTCCTATTCAGAAAACAGGCAGATACTGTATTGGTTTGATTCCCGAGCATATCAAAGAAATTTCAACGTCCAGGAAATATCCCCTTTTTCATGGTCACCCAGATGAATTTGATAGGAATAGAGGGGACATTGAACTACTCCAGAGGAGCTATGATCAGGGCGCTGACAATTGTACACCTTTCTTCATCTTCCTTCTTACTTCACACCCCCATTCCACCCTCTCTTTCCTTCCCATGATTGGCCTTCCAATCCATTTTATTTCGAATTTCAAGCGTGGCAGAGAGAAAAGGGTTATTCAGGAGGAAGAAACCATGTAATAGTAAAATGAACGTAAACAGTTAGTTACAGCTCATCGTTTGGGTAGATCTGGAATCCAGGAAATGTTAGATGAACTCTTAGCTTGAAAGTAGCGACTGCTAAAAAGTTCGTAGACCGCCCACTCAACCGTCCACAGCTGAGCTCTCACGAGTTTTGAGAAAATCTCAAGAGAGGAATGCTCTCACCGGTGACGACGATGGAACGACAGGTGCGATCGTGGCATGCGGGAGTTCATGAGATAGGGGTGGGCCAAATCAAAAGCACATTGCAACGCTTCCCGATAACATACGTCAAGAACTACGCGATGAGCCACAGGGCAAACTCTTGACGAATCATATTTCTCCTTATAACCGGGTGAAAAACAAAAATCTCGGACAGAAAAAACTTTCGATATTGAACAGACGCGCTTTGTTTGTTTAAGCTACAGCAGCTGGTGACCTATTGCCAGCAGTAGTGGCATGAATGTTACTGAAGTATTGATGTATGCATTGGCGAGGGAAGAGGGCCAGGACTTGCAGATAGGGCTGGCTTGTTGGTCTATCACGATAGTCCATGGTATCACAACAAATTATTGTCCATTATCATCGCTGATGTTGCATTATCAGCGAAGATAGCGAGCGATCAATTGGAGTTGCTCAAAGTTGGTAGAGTAAGATTCCGCCAGACTATGACCACTTACACTGATGTATCGGCTTTTTACAACCCGAGTTCAAGCTCGGTCGTGGGGGATGCAGGAAGGAGATGACCGTAGAAAATTCGTTCCAGGTTCTATTTCACTGTAAGCAGCTCTCCCAAATGGGCTGAACGGAATATCCTTCCATCCTTCCGGGTTCAAACTTCCAGGGAATTCCCTTTTAATGCAGATTTGCGGTGTTTCAGCCAGCTTCCCGAGAGACTCAAAACCACAACTGGTTTTATTACCTTCTTCAGAATTTGCAGAAGCAAGAAGTCACTCCACAACCTACTCGTCCAAATGCTATTTCATCGTATAGAAGTCGTTCAACAAGGTTGTAAACCAGTATGACGACGTCATAAAAATATGAGGAACACCTTTTAAGATGGACGATCTGGGAAGAGGTAATACTATGGGAATCTCCCATATCCGGTTGAATTAATACCGAAATCTGCCTCGAAAATTGGGGGATCTGATGAGACGGAAGGCGGTATATGGCATCATCGAAGCAAGAGATGGCTTAGAATCGGTGCAATTAGACTCCGAACGCTCTTCCTAATGGAAATATTGACGAAGCAACATAGGCTTGCAATTAGTAACAACAAGACATCAACTGATGCTACAACAATGGAAGCAGCACTCTTAATGAACAGTAGTTGTCAAAAATAGGGGCTCCACTTTGCAGCCTTTCGATGGCTCCTTTCTCTGGAGCTTTTTGCCCAAGTTAGCCACTTGTCACATTTGATTTATCCCCAAACCGACGACGGCAACTACACCTAGGCCAGTACGGCCGGTACAAGGGGAGGGGATTGAAGCTCGGCATTGAATCTCTACACACAAGTTGATTAAAATACCGAAACTGGGTCGCGGACTCCATGATATTATATGTGGGGAGAGGGTGTTCAATTTGATTTGAGTTCGCATTGGATGTCAAAGTCGTTTTTGTGGGGCTTTTTTGTGAGCATAATTTTGGATTAATGGATGGACATATGTGTGTGGAGTGAGATCGGACTGCAGAGAAGATTTGACATCCACTACTCCATGATTGACTCAGATTGGCACCCAAGGGATGGGAACGCAGTGTGAGAACAAATTGGGCAGAGTGTGTGAATCGGATGAATTGATAGGAAAGAGACTGAACAAAGCACCCAATCAATGGAAAAACTAGAAAATACAATAACGAGGGCATTCTGAGCAGCAAACCAAGCCCTTGTAGCTCAAAAATCAGTATCTGAGTACCATGAAATTTGAACACCCTAGTTTGAGGAGAGTCCGATTGTCAATCATATTTCTTTGACAGACAAGTCTTCAACGGTGATGAGAACTTCGTTCGAACCCACAGAGAGGGTAGCCTACTCACATACCGGTGTGGGATGAGGTAGGATGCTGTGGAACTGATTAGTGCTACAGTAATGACTTCACTACATGTCAGCTTGGGACAACTTTTCACTTGAATGCCAAGAATGTGGGCAAAAAAAGCTGAAGAAACCAGAATACCTCAGAACACTAAGGGAAATTGTAATGATTGGAGAGCTCTATAGGATTCTCTATCATCTAGAGGCAGTAGTTTCTTGTTTGAAGTAAGCTGGAAACCACGCTTGAACCAAACTTTCTGCTGGCCACCGCCATCAAGAAAGATAGAGAAATGAAAGACACGGAAATGCTATGAACATTGAAAGCAAAAAGTGAATTCGGGCTGAGTGACGTGCTGGAACTTATCATAACTGCAGTTGTCAACATTGCAAAAAAAAATTTGGACGTGTAGGTATGGCTTGAACCAAGAACACCGTTCTGTGCTGACCGAAAGTAATACAGGGAGGGTACTGGGAAAGTTGGACATTTTTTCTGCAAGCCAATGCAACGACTCCAGGAGCGTCGCAGTCCTTCCAAAAAGGCTTTCAATGAATAGGAAACGGAAAAGACTTTGGAGCATAGCTATATCACAAGAAAGCTTGAACGAACAGACAGGCCACAAAGTAATTCCAGTGGTTTTCTGTCGAGCTATGAGTCAGTTGTGAACAGCGGACGTAATGTATTTGTTCACGTTTGAGCAGCTGTGTTGCCGTTTAGTACCTCCATAAAACCCCATGTTCGAGATTAATACAGCTCATTTAGAGCAGAGTATGTTGCGAAGAGATTCTCACATTCGAAGGTATAACAATGATTTTGCAGCGAATCCGACCAGAGCGCTAGAGGTATGACGAAAGCTTCAACATCATTAGTATGTTCAAATAAATTGTTCAAAAAAAAGTCTGTATGGCGGAAGAAGCTACTTCAAATATTTAGACATCAGATCCCGGTAGAAAAGTCCTAGAGCTTTATGAAGGCTCGTGTTAGTTGTAGGTGGAGGTAGCCGAGTCGAGGAGCAGGAGGGAAGGTGGTGGGCGTGGTGAACGAGGGGGATGGAGAAAAGGAGACAACAGCTAGAACTTGGCCGGCTATTTTTCAGCTATATTCTTTGCCTTTTTGGCTATGGTATTTTATAGTATGAAGATCGTGAATTCACCTAATCTTTCTTTCGCAGCCGGTCAAGACACCCGGCCCAACCCAGTGTGCTAAGCTAGCTGAGCTCGATACCGAAAAATTGAGTCGGTTATTCAGTCAGCGGCCATTTTTTTGAAAAGGAAATTGATAAAATAATAGTAGAAAAGAAAGGTCTTCAAGTTACAGAACACAATCCCAGCCTCCCGTCACAGTAGGCGAGGTCGGTTTCATGCCATTATTTTTTACCCCAAACACAAGGTTCTCCTGTCTTGAGTAGGTCCTGAGGACCAGCCGATGTTAAACAAACAGATTAATGGTTCGAGTTCTTCAAGCCTCTTCCAAATAAACAAACTTGAAGAGAACATACATGTCCTCGAAGGGATCATCTCACTATGTCTTTCGAAAATTGATTGAAAGAAGAGGAAAGGGAGAGTTGGGTGATGAAATCAAAATGCTGCTCTGAGAAAGGGCAGTTTTTTTGTATTCTACATCGCCTCACTTGGAAGAAACAGCCATGGCAGCTATTTGAATTTTATATTTGTCGACGAAAGCTGTGAAATATGGGGCAATTGCGAAAAGCAGAGTGGAACATTTGAAGAGCCGATAATGGAAGCGATAAGTCAGCAATACATCGAAAAACTTGGCCCATCCCCATGTCTCTTGGGGCCCGTGCATTTACTAGTATCTGACTGAATACACACGCACAACCAGAGGATATATGCAATTATACGGGACTCGGGAAGATTTCTTCAATTCGTTGGCTATTGACTGCCGTCAATGAGATTAACGTCGCCTTCTGGCGAGACGCGGTAGGGTCAAGAGATGAGTAGGTTCGGGTGCCAGTTGGTTGCTAATCATTTGAGTCATTCCGGACGAGTTAACACGAAATGTTCAATGAAGGGAGAAATTCATTCAAAAGAAAAAAAGGCATCAAGACGATCATGAAAGGAAAACTCGCTTTCAACCAAAGGGAGAAATTCCCGGGCCTCTATGAAAGAGGGAACGGGATGGGAAATGTAGTCACCAATAATCGTAACAAGTCCATTGAGCGTTACTGAAGTTTTTCCTCAAGGAAGAGTCATCGAAAAAGAATGTAACCCAATCTGCTGTGTCCGGAACGAAGAGTATTCGAAAGGTTTCTTAGTAAATGCTCTAGAGCCAGTTATTCCCAGTTGGTAAACCTACGGACGAGATTCCGGAGGTTTAGCCATCTCATACCGGCAATTTGAGGCGGCAGTAAACTATGTAAAAATGACTACTAAATGGAATAAGTAATGGGCTGGCGTTGTAGTGAACGTGGTGGTTTATGACCCATCCCTAGCGCTAGGTCATTTATCATTGAAGCACTTATCGAT